ATTAATTCACTTGAGTTCATACTTATTATATATACTAATTAGCATGAAGTAATTGAGAAATGTATACTCAGTTCATCAATAAAGATTATCACTATAACACCAGACTAATTGTTACCATGTTGAAAACATATTTTTTGAAGTTCTGAATAAACCGTTAAATATTCACCTTCGGTATCGCACTTTAAATGGTGATGTTCAACATAAATATTCAAACTTTTGGAAGAAATGTTTTTGCATGAAATTGTTGTATAATTGGTTTCTGGAAAATCATTTAAGCATCATGGATCTTTGTAGAAAACTTGACATGAAAGGACAGTCTGTTGTTTGATTATAAAGTAATACAAATCAATTTATCCACTTTTGTTTTCAGTTAGGTAAAATCATACTGAAGTGTATTATGACCTCAATTTAAATATGATTACTTGATTTTAAGTATAGGGAGGTCAAATAAATATTTATTTAAGGATATATATACATATATATTAAGTTGAATAAAAATTACTTTTATTATTCGCAAAATTTATCAGATTAATAATAAGTAGGCGTTTGCGAAATCATAAAATGATCGTAAATTTTCAAGACTTATTCCATTTTAAGTAGGTAAATTCGACCAATTAGAGAAAAAGATGGGAACTAACTGATGACAATCAATTGGATTAACATTAAAATTAAGATTATTGTGCTGGGTTTATGGAAATTGTTGCATTTTATGGCTAAAATTACACAATAACCGTAGATAAATAACCATTGAAAATCAGGAAGCACTAGACAGCTACATCTTTGTAGTATGAAAATCCTTAAAAGTGCATATCCACAACTCTATTAAGTTCGGTCTGTGATGTTAGCTATAAAATTGAACAATCTTTATAAAGTTTTTACGGTAATGATAATCATATGCTCACGAATGAGTAATTTCGAGATGTTATAATACTATCCACAAGCTTCTTCACTAGTTTCCAAAGTCACATTACTACTCGTTTTTATGCTCTTAGTATTAATGACCTTTGAGAAAGGTTCACCTTAATTATTTTATAGAAGCATTTGTGCTTATATCACATGACTGTCGAGACCATTGCCACTGCTTCAGTGAAGCAAGGATTACTGATTGAAAAGCAATCAAGAATAAAGAGTAGCCTCATGATCTATCTTAGTGTGTTGGAATGGTCTCAGCTATTTACTTATTTACGCCTGTAACCCCTCTTGGACCATAGACCGGCCACCAGCATTCTCCATCCAACTCTGTCCTAGGCAATTCTTTCCAGTTGTTATTCATCCTTTTCATATCTGCTTCTTTTTCCCGGCGTAATGTGTTCTTTGGCCGTCCTCTTTTCCGCTTCTCTTCAGGATCCCAAGTTACGGATTGCCTCATGATGCAGTTTGGTGATTTCAGCGATGTATGTTCTATCCACTTCCAACGTCTTTTCCTAATTTCCTCTTCAGTTGGAAGCTGGTTAGTCCTCTCTCATAAAACGCTGTTGCTGATTGTATCCGGCCAATGAGTGTTGAGTATTTTGAGTAGACAACTGTTTATAAATATTTGTACCCTCTTGACGATGATTGTAGTAGTTCTCCACGTTTCAGCTCCATGCAGTAGGACTGTTTTGACGCTCGTACTGAAGATTCTCACTTTGAAGTTAGTTGACAGTTGTTTTGAGTTCTATATGTTCTTCAATTGTAGAAATCCGGTCCTTGCTTTCTCAATCCTCATATTTACAACTGCATCCGATCCTCCTTGTTTATCAATGATGCTTCCCAGATACATGAATGTTTCCACCTCTTCCTGAGTTTCGCCATCAAGTGTGATTGCGTTGGTGTTCTCCGTGTTGTATTTTAGAATCTTGCTTTTTCCTTTGTGTATGTTGAGGTCTAATGATGCATTGGCAGCTGCTACATTTGTTGTCTTCGTTTGTATTTGTTCGTGTGTATGAGATAGGAGGGCCAGGTCATCTGAGAAGTCTTAATCATCTAACTGGTTCTGAGATGTCCATTGTATTCCGTGTATCCCCTCAGATGTCAAGGTTTTCATAATCCAGTCAATCATCAGAAGAAAGAGGAAGGGTGAGAGTAAGCAGCCTTGTCTGACTCCGGTCGTCAATTGGAATGCATCTGTCAGTTGTCCTCCATGCACGACATTGCACTGTAGTCCATCGTATGAGTTCTGGATAATGTTGATAATCCTCTGAGGAACTCCATAGTATCGAAGAAGTTTCCATAATGTTCTCCTGTCCACACTGCCAGACGCCTTATCTTAGTAAACGATATTGATCTATAGTGACGAGTTCCATTCAACTGATCGTTCAAAGATGATCCGTAGTGCCGCAATTCGATCTGTGCACCACCGATCCTTATGGATTCCCACCTGTTGATCTCAAAGTTGAGCGTCTACTGAGTCTTTCATCCGGTTCAGCAACACTCTGTATAAAACTTTTCCTGGTACTGACACTAAACTGATGCCTCTGTAATTCTCACATTTGCTCAGATCTACTTTCTTTAGCATAACTGTCTCATATTCCTTTCCCTTTCAGCCTTTTCCGCCGTCGTTGCTAGTTCTCCCATGTATTTCTGCTTGTCGGCCTTAATGCTTTTCTTGACTTCCTTATTTGCTTCTGCGTAGTCTGTTTGCGCTCTGACTTCCTCTGCTCTTGTTCGACTGCTGCTAATTGCTGTCTTCTTGTTCTTCCTTTCTGCAATCTTGTCCAGGGTTCCCACAAAGATCCATTCCTTATTATGGTGCTCCTTGTGACCCAGAACCTCCCGACACGTTGAAGTTAATGTTTTTTATCCTTTTCCAGTTGTCCTCCATAGTAGTTTCTTCTTTCATTAAATCCTGTAAAGCTTGGAACATGTTGTTGAGAGTTATCTTGAATTGGGTGAGTTTGTTAGTATCTCGAAGGAAGGCTGTGTTGAACCTTTGTAATGCTTTTCCCCCAGTTAGTTGTCCAGTGTTGCTCTGGCTTCAGTTTCATCTTGGCCACAACCAGGTGGTGATCTGAAGCTATGTCAGCTCCTCTCCTGGTTCTCACATCTTCCATTGTTCTTGGGAATTTTTTGGTGATACAGATGTGGTCTATGTGGTTCTCCGTCGTGTGGTCCGGTGAGATCCATGTAGCTTTGTGCATGCGTTTGTGCGGAAATATTATGCCGCCTATAACCAATTTGTTGAATGCACATACATTTGCAAATCTCTCCCCATTTTCGTTTCTCTCTCCCAGACCATGTCATTCCATGATATCTTCATATCAAGTGCTGTCCATTCTTACTTTGGTTTTCAGATCTCCCATCAGGATTGTCATGTCCCTTCCTGAGCATTTTGCTATGATTGATCGCAGCCACGAGTAGAACTGATTTTTATTGTCATCGTTACTATCATTGGTGGGTGTAAAACTGATGTGTGGGTGATAATGACAATGATTGGTTGTCTTGATGATTCAGGCATTAGATAGGATGACAGGTGTTATGTGTTATATATATTCCCCTATCCTTATTATGCATTGACTGTTCCTTGTTGTTGGACACTTATTGATGGACTATTATTGATTGACTGTTTCTTGTGTCGGATTGTGGTGTGGAAATATATTGACGTTATAGTCAGGCTAATCTCGTGTTTTTGATCTGAGTTGTGTTGAAGTCCTGTAGAATAGACACCGGGTGGGAATCTAGCGTAGATATTCGTCTAAGGTAAATTAACGTCCCACATACGTGTAAGAAGTGAAAGGACTGTTATAACCAGAAACCCCTAAAGTTATAACCAGCATCCTCCTCTACGTTTATAACAAAAACATTAGATAACATTCATTGTGATCCTCTCCTCCTTTGTTTTGAAAGATGCTTTGATAATCCTGGATTCGTGACATTTTGACCCTACAGTGCATCACGTGCTTCTTTGGATAACATCAGAGCAACTCCCTGAGTTTGTGAAGCATTTTCTCCTTCGTGACCGGAGTACAGCAGCATCTCTCCCGTATCTAGCCTTTGTTGTCCAGCTTGGGTTAAATAGATTTCACTGATTCCGAGTGCTGCCAAGTTGTCTCTTCTCATTTCCGTTGGCGTTTGACTGATCCTCCCGGTCTCACACATTGTCCGGACATTCCATGTACCTATAAAGAGTGTTGCTCTGGTTGTTAGAAGGGTCATCGGCCTCGTGACTTCCGGAAAATCTCGGCTTTGGTCCTGAGGAGTCATAATTCTTACTTCAACTCCCAGGGCAGAGTCTAAATGGTTTAATTTGTTTAATCTGGTTAGCGTTTTTTAGTGAGTTAGTTTTTCTGCGGGATGGGGTCGCTAACCCCATACCCAAACCTCCTCCTTTATCCAGGCTTGTGACTGGCAGTAAGTCTAGAAGAGCTATTGACGGAGTTAGTAATTAAATCTAATGACTTTAAAATAGACTAAACTTCAGGATGATGATTTTTTCTAATGCTTTTTTTAACATTAGCGAACATGAAATTTTCATAGACAAGCCGGATGTTACTCATAAGTGTAATATTTTTAATTAACGTCTCATCCTATTGTCAAATGAGGTTACTCAATAATCAAGGGGTAAAAAAGGTATATAAAGATCAAAATTACTGGTCAGATAATTATCCAGTTGACAGGTTTGAAGAAAGATGACAAACATAAATGTCATAGTAATGAAATCCGAATAATAATCAAGACTATTATAATTGTCATTTTTCTTGAAACTTGTCAATCGGACAATTATCTGACCAGTAAATTATTTTCATCCTTATATTCTTTCTTTACCCCTTGATTATTGAGTAACCTCATTTGATATTTAGTCTCAAATTAATCTATGGCGTCATTTCTTCTATCTTTCTGTAGACATATATTTTCTGTGTAACTATAAATACGAATGTACAGCTTAAGTAAATGATTTCGTCGAAAAGAAAATTTTCATCGCTGTATTCTCCTTATTTTTATTCAATCACACAATGGGTTATTTTAATTATCTAATGTCTCCTCAATGGTCAGGATTATTTATTATAAATAATACAGATAAATAAATTGTAGTATTTTTATATATTTCGAGATAGACAACATAAATTTCACAATATTTTATAAAACTGATCAATCGTTCTTAGTAGAAACACTTAGCGATTGCCATCTAACTTTACAGTTCACTATTACCGAAATATGGATTTATACATTTAACTGTTAAGTTTTCGAAATATACAGTAAAACCAAATTTATCTTCAGTCAAAACTGAATGGATATACATTTTAGTAATCAATAGAGAAAAATAATGTTATGAATGTAAATTTTATTGTTAATTTAACAGTTATTATTAGCTTCATGAAATTCGTGGTTGATCGGATTTAAACAAAGATCCTTTGGATAACCTTCGAGAGGTGCACAATAAACTCTCGCGAAGTAATTTAAAACACTTGAAATAAATATAAATATCCAGTAACTCCCGTATGGAATTCAAGTACCAGAAAAAGTCCCCTATATCATAATCAACACCAGTTTGGTTGAAATTAGCGTCTGTCGAACTGAATCGTGCCAATGAATAGAACACGGCTTGACATAATGCCATAATTATAAAAGAAATCGAAGAAATAGTCAAGAGTATCGAACGTTGGATATGCTTTTTATCAGTTACACTTAATTTGTTCAAAGAATTTTTATATAATTGTTTACGTAGTTTTAGCAAAAACGCTAAATCGATTATAGTTAAGAAAATTGTTTGAATAAGTCCTAAATTTGAAAATAATGTATGATAACCTTGTACATACTGATCACTTATATCTACCCAACACAAAATACGCTCTCCAACCAGACGCCAATCGACTCTAAATGCGAATGGTATCATCATTAATGCACTTAATAATAATATCCCGATGTCAATATACCATCCATATAATTTTGGGAAACGTTTCATTTTAGTTGGAATGTATATAGTTAAGCATCTGTCTAGTGAAGCACATACATGCATGTTACACATCATTGTTGAACTAAATGCATACATATAACGCTGAAAGCGACAGGTCATTGGTGATATATTTAATATTGAAAAAAATATAGTTCCATGTGATACATATGGTAAACCTCTGACAGTAAATTGCCATAACCATATAAACATAATATTTGCTATTGCACTTGACAAGGATATTCCGGAGATGTAAATTATTTGTCTAGGCATCTTGTTTGCCCTTACAATAGTGTAAAATCCAATGTATAAGTTTGTCATTACAGTCATCAAACTGAAAAGAGGTAAAACATATCCACACCAAAATGAAACAACTGTTGATACAATACATCTAACTTGTTGTTCATAGGACGAATCATTTTTCAATAAATCACACTGACGAAAAACTTTCAACGCATAGTCTGTAAAATTAAGAGATGCTTCATACATTCATAACATTTCTTCAAAAAATATCGTAATTGTCCAAATGATTGTTGCTTTGTTAGAATTAAGCAATTTTTAAGATCATTCCATTAAGTCTCTCAATACCCATAAAGTTTTGATGATTTGTTAAGGTTTGTTCAAAAATCAACGTCAAGATATTGAATTTGTTTTGTTCACCATAACGTTTGAGCTACAAGTCACTTTAAGATTATTATGTCTTTAGAATTTAATGGTATTTATAGACCAAATTTGAATGTTTGGAGTGTTCGTTTTCAGAAATATATCACAGTGAAAAACAGGGCGTATTAAGTCATTCAAAAAACTAAACTTTTTATTAATTAAAACGAATTTCGAACCAATGACTGATAGATCAAAACCTTATCAACAGATTGTAAATATTTTGGAATTAATGTATTATCTATTATTGAGTCAGTGTGTCTACTTTTTCTACTTTTCATATTGTATTGTTCTTAATTTAAGACATTTTCATCAATAGGATATGGAAACATCAGAAAAAATGTAAATTTATGCAAAATATCATAATCTCTATCGATACTTATTGTTCAGCAGTGGTCTCTAATTGGTACAATAAGTCTGTCATTTTGAATGATACATTAATCTGATGTTTAGTCAAAGTACTTCACAATATTAATTATTCGATAATATAATCTGCTTGTACCAAACTAATGTACACAGAAAATTATGAGTACTAATTTACTGAGAAAACATGAAAATTCGGGATTAAGAGAATTTCTAAACTGTCTAAAGGACTTGGTTTACTGGTCATTCAGCAATCAGTGGATTAAACGACACATTCAGTAGATAAAGCTATTCCAAAATAAGTGTGAACATGTATTTTAACAATAGTTGTAATCATGAGTGATCCATATGATGCATACTTAAGGTAGTTCTTCTAAAATATATAAACTAAAAAATAACGACTAATTTTGTTGTAATTTTTCATGTTCATCTCTTGTGATTAATTTTTAAAAAACTTTTTGCTAAATTTAATTAAAGAATAAATTGCTATAAACTATTCTGATAGAACAGTTTCTGACATTCAAAACTAGATGTTACAGGAAAATTATTCACGAATTTAATGAATATAATTGTATGTAATTTGCCTAGTATAAAAGTATAACGTATGATGATGATGGTGATATTTATGGAAGCATCTCAGAAAACATAGAATACATACAACAACCCTATTATCATTTTAACACCGTTTACATCAGCATTGACTTTATTAGTTATGCGAAAACTGAGTTAGCCGCATGAACCTAGACATATAAAAGGTTGGAAAAAGAAGCAATATCATATATATATATATGTATTTGAAATTTTCGAACTATTCTCAACACGATATCGTTCGGTATTCACTGCTTTAATTCCCTTCTACTTAATAATTATCTTCCATCTGTAATGTATTTTCACTTTGGTCTTTTAGGTATATTTTTCGACACTTCGGAAAATATTCTATCACCTTTGAAATGATGAAACATTGATCAATGTTATCATAGACTCCTCCTGGAGGGCGTTCAGGGTTACTGACCGTCCCAAGAACGAATAAAGTAAGAGAAATAGGGATGGGACCAGCAACTCTATCCCATAGAAAAATCACCTCCAAAATAACGCCAACCGAAGACATCATTTAAGTCATTTACATTCTCCTCTGAGGGTTAAAGGATAATCATTTATAAGAATATCGCCGTTCCAATGTGAATACCGAGATTCTTCAAGGGTCACAAGGCTGAGTACCTTTCAAACAACCAAAGGAATAATTAGCATCAATACATGGAAAGTATGCACCATGTTACAGAACAGGACGACCAGTTATGGATATGAGAAGCTACAAGCTGGCGGTGCTCGGAATAAAGGAAATCCACCGGATGTAAACTGGACAAAATTGGTTAGCTTCAAGAGAGGTGTTGTTGAGCTCTGGTTATGGAGAAAACATTACAAGGCTGCAGACGATCGTAGAGAAGTGCCCAGAAAAGGACCTGACTGTCCCAATGGGAGGCCTGAACTCCAAGGTTGGAATGGAAGAAACACAGGTATGGCGACGAATTCGAAAATTTGTATGTTTTCAATGAAATGACTATAGGTGGCAGCATATCCCACCACAAACGCATACAGAAAACTACATTGGTTTCACCGGACCACATCATAGAGAACCTGATCGAATACGTTTTCCTCAATAAAAATTTCTCAAGGTTCAGTGGAGACGTAATAACGAAGAAGAAAGCTGACATGGTTTAATATTACTACCTGCTAATAGTCAATTTGAAGCCAAAGCTAAAGAATTCCTGGACAGCTGGAGAAACAGAGATACAAAAGTTTGATGCAGCCTTCACTTGAGATGTTAACAAGCCTAGAGAATCCGATATGGTAGTCAACAACGACACGTTTCAAGCCTTACAAGATCGACTCAAAGAAAAGGAGAATACCGTAGGCAACTACTGGAAAGGCATTGAAGAAGCATTAAATTCAAAATCCAAAGAGGTGCCAGTCCCCAAGAAGCACCATCAAAAGATATCTATGGATACCTTGGACAATATTCTAGAAAGAATAGGCAGGAAGACAGCAATTAACAGCATTCAAACAAAGGCAGAAAAAGCCAGGACACAGGCCGAATACACAGAAGCAAATAAACGAGTGAAGAGGAACATCAGGGCCGATAAGTGGAAATCCGTGGATGACCTAGCAAGGACAGAAAAATGGCTACAAGAGAATGAAATATGACCTATCATCTCTACCGCAAGCAAAGCAAAAATGTAAGATAAAGAAAGCCAATAGAGCAACTGCTTCCGCATCAGTAAGCGTCAACATGCACAAGGGAAATAGCAAGATCCTAAAATATAATACAGCCTGCACCAAACAAATCACACTTGACGGTCATTGTCTAGAAGAGATGTGAGACTTTACGAACATGGACAACATTACTGATGAGGAAGGACGATCTGATGCAGATGTCAACGTACTAATCAGAACTGCAAAGGCAACATTCCTACAACTGAAAAATATCTGGAACTCAAAACAACCAACAACCACTACAAAAGTATGAATCTTTAACACTGACGTTAAGACAATTCTATTGCATGGAGATAAAAATTTGAAAACCACTACATCCATGATCAAAATTTAAAGTTATTGATGGATAGTTATTGACTCAATATATTTCAGATCTATTGCCTGAACACTATCAACAACAAGACGTTGCAGTTTAATGGGACACATTAAGTAAATCTGTAAACTCCATCAGGAGACATGTCGTAAATTGTAGTCCTGAAGACAAGAGGAAATGAGGTAGGTCAAAGAACATATTGCGTCAGGAATTGAAGGCAGACACTGAATTGACAGATGGGACTTTACAGGAACTGTAAAAGAGAGCGGTGGACAGAGTAGGTTGGAGCATCTTTGTCGGGGATCAATGCTTCACACTTAAACTGCCTGAGATTCTAGATAGGGGTAGGTAATTAATGGAGATCGGTGAAAATGAAGAAGTGATATTCGTGTCTAAGAACCAAACTTAACTGAACACTAAATCAATGAGAAACGGGTAAACAAGTGATTATCATTTGTTTGATCAACAAAACGTTGAAGATTTTTGTGATGGAAAGACCACATGATGGACATCGTTTATCTTCATTATTGTGCAGTCTAGTTCAATCATATAGTAAATAAACTATACTATATATGTCAGTTGAATAGGTGGAAAAGATCGATTTGTATTATTAGTAGATAAATTATTGTTCCAGAAGTATTTGGCGTTGTTTGCTGCAAGTAGCGAATTTGTGCATGAATGTTTGCTGCTACTCAATGGTTTTATAAGTAGTCAAAATTTTCCTGCAAATATATCAGTGTGACAATTAGTCGGATAAATTCCATTTTTGATAACCACCAGTTCTTTTTCATATTGTCCTCGTGTGCATCGGTATCACTTACATGAATGGAACTACACTGATTTAGAAATTATCGGGAGCCTATACACCCTTACCATTTCCTGATAATTTCCACCTCAATTGTCAGCTAGATTGATCCTTGTCACAGTAAGTTATTGCTGATGGCATCTGGTCTATGTATTTGGTGTAAAACACGTAGACAGTTGTTTGTCGATATTTTTGCTCTTTTAGTGATGATGTTGACAATTGACCAAGTTTCAGCTCCATACAATAGAATTGTCTTAACGTCAGTGTTAAAGATTCATACTTTTGTAGTGGTTGTTGGTTGTTTTGAGTTCCAGATATTTTTCAGTTGTAGGAATGTTGCCTTTGCAGTTCCGATTAGTACGTTGACATCTGCATCAGATCGTCCTTCCTCATCAGTAATGTTGTCCATGTTCGTAAAGTTTCACATCTCTTCTAGATAATGACCGTCAAGTGTGATTTGTTTGGTGCAGGCTGTATTATATTTTAGGATCTTGCTATTTCCCTTATTAATGTTGAGACGTACATTTATAGAGCTCCTACTGAACTGATTGTCTCCACCTATATTTGCTGCTGTATCAGCGATAGCAGATCTGAGCCCTTATTTAGCCCACGTCACTCAGGTACGTCTGAAATATCCAATATGCTACATAGTTTAGTTGGAACATGGAGTGGAGTAAAGTTGACAGTAGGCAGCCTTGTCTGAATCCAAAATTCAATCGGAATGAACCTGTGAGCTACCCTCCACTCACATCTACGCAATTCGGTCCCTCACACGGATTCCGTATTCCGGTTTTTCGTCTCCTGATCTTGGACAGATTGTAATCAGAGTTCCATTATTTATGCTGGTGGGAGGCCAATGTTCCTATACGAGGGGTAACGGGCGTAAGTAAGTAAATCTCCCGAAGTTAGTCCGTTCTGTCTAGATTGTATCGAATGAGCTTCTCGTACTCCAAGCACATTCATGAGGTATCTTCTGTGGCTATCTAAATGACCCTGTCGTTTTTACATACTTTTTGGGAGTTCTGCGTACTTATATTAATTGTGAGAAGAATCATCGGCCCAATGGCTACTAGAAAATCTCTACTTTCACCGCGAAGAGTCATCATTCTTGCATATGGGGACCATTGTTTAGATAGTTTAATTAATTTTCTGTGATTTGCGGTTTTGTGACTGGGATATTTTTTTACAAGATGGAGTTACTAACCCGATTTCGAATCCTTACAGATCAACAGGACTTGGGACCGGTGGTGGCCGTAGAGGGGCTCCAGATGTAGTTTGTCATTAATGCAAGTGTGAGATGAAGTCTTTTCTAATTCACTGATGATGGGCTATTTCCTAATCCCAGTTTCATTTTACCAGGATTCACTCTTCAGCACCAAAACAACTCATTAGGCGTATCTTCATTTCTTTCAGAAATGTCAAATGTGGGTAGTTAGAAGGCCAGATAAATCATTTATGTTCCGAAATTATCTGCCATAACTGATACTGCTACTAATATTCCGGTAATCGTTT